AGGGTCCATATTGATTGCTGCACGATGTATAGGCCCATCAACTGCACCATGCATGGGTAAGGGAGGAGCTGATGGAGCTGAAAGGATAGCTGCTGAGATGACAGTTGTAGAATTGACTGGCTGATTGCTTGTGTTAGCTTCGGGCTGTGCAGTTCCGGCGCTGGACAGCTGAGGGGAAGGCCTAACCTAGATTGCCAATTTCAGAGGTGGTCAGAATCCAAGATTTAAGGATGCAGAAAATCTACAGAAGAGATGCAGTGCAATTCATAACATAGTTGCATAAAAAACTCCACTATTCTTGCATGTATCTTTAACTATAATATCTTTATACCTCGTATTAAATTAAAATGGCTGCCACTAGAACATAATTTTGCTCCTAAAGTTTGGAAAAAAAAAAAAAAAATCCTCCAATAAACGTTCTCCTTATATGCCTTTAGGTAAAATCCCTCATAATTTGCTGTATAATGTGTCAAATCTCTTAATAAGTAGTATAAGAGATAATCATTAGTCTCATAATATAGTTTGGTCCAAGTAGTGAATGATAGTATAGAAAGAAAATCTCAGTGAAAAAGAAGTTGCACATAAGGAGAATCAGAAGTCCTTCAAAATATAAATCAAGGAGATTCCCAAGTACATTACATGCAAAGCACCATAAAAATGTGCCTAAAGAGAGGCTAGAAATTACTTTTTTAGCCACATACAGAGTTAAGTAGACTCCAGAATCTAGCTACAGTTGAAATTATTATCAAATTGAACCTACTTCGTAGTTAATAGTGAGCTGAGCCATTTTCAGAATCTTATCACACGATCAGAAGTTATAGGCTTCAACAAGTAATCTCATAACCCAACCTACCGTGAATGCAGGCTTCAACTTCAGTAATTCTAGAATATAGTCATTCATCATTTTTTATTTTATTTTTTTTTTTTGAATTTTTTTTTTTTTTATTTGAGGAAGTAGTCATTCATCAATCATCACTGTGTATTATTGGGAGGCATGGAGACTGAAAGCTATTTTTAGTTACAATTTCTATTAACCCAACCTAATTTTTTATTTAGTTACATTTTTACATACCAAAAATGCTTTGTGGCGCCATTACAGGAGTTAGATGAAAATCTCCAAAGCTAATAATCAATTACCACTATATAAATTTGAGCAAATTAAATCTTTAAGACAATTTTTTTTAAGAAGATCATGAGTTATCCAAACAATATAAAAGTGAATTCAGTCACCAAAGCAAAAAAAAAAAAAAAAAAAAAAAAAAAAAAAAAAAAAAAAGGGTATGCAAGCCAGAGTGCAAAAGCCACAAGACAGAAATTGATCCCAAAGAAATACTAGTCTACTTAGGACATACCTTAAGAAACCCTTTGCAAGCACTGTGCAACTGAATAAGTTGCTGCTTGTCTCCCTTAATGGAAGATAAAAATCTAAAACGGGACCCTGAAAACCGTCAGAACAGAAAGTGTGTAAGAGAGACCTCAGGAAAAAAAAAAATTGGATAGAGGTGGCAATTCAATATAAAAGACTTCATCAGATTATTAATTAACATACAGTACAAGCATAGAGCTACCACAAAGATAGTGCTAATCATTGATTATTTTTAACCAACAAGCCCAATAAACTTATTGATTAAAAATTCTCCAAATATATAGAACCCAAAGCACATTATCTCTGATAGAAGGATGTAGCCAATATTTATGTGACCAGTAACAGAGGAATTATCGGGCGTTTTATGCCGCTTTTCAAATTCCAACATTCAAAAATTTACAAGCTTTCGAACAAGCATGACATAATCATGCATGGTACTCTCTCTAGTCGTTTGCTTGTATAATAACTTACACTATGAGGCATAATCATAAATCACTTAAAAATTTAGAAGTAAAACTAGCTAAGATTTTAGAGTAGATAAATATCGGACATCCCTTCATCACAGGACAACATAGAGAAGGCATGCCAAAAAGTGAGTTCGGCCAATAAACAATTCATAGTAACGAGCTTACCAGTGGACTTGTTGAAGATTATCAAGGAGGGATCTGACTTACGAAACTTTGGTTCCACGATGTTGGATTTCCAAAGAGGAATGACAGTACGAGGCTGGGCATCCTGTTCATTAAAACCTTTTTTAGAAGACGTAATAGGTGATTTACATAGTAACTAAATGAATGTTATACATATATATATTTTCATGTATGGTAAATTGGCAACAGTATTTAAGGTCAAGTCAGGTTTAACACCACTCAAGCCCTTAATGTCATTTGCTCTCGAGCCTTAAGCAGCAGAACTGAACAAGATAAGCTCTTATCGCAAAAACACACACAAAGGTAAAAAAATATTTGTTAGAGTAAACTCCAAATCACAATCCTAGAGTTCTTACACACGGGCAAAAATAGGATAATCTTCAGAAGCAAACTCTATAATTTCAAACAATTATTCAGGTCACACTTAGTCATAATGTCACATACCTGCACACTAGAATACACAGCAAACTCCAATCTTATAAGCTCCCCTGTATTGGGGAGGCTGCAAGGAACAACCACCACCCAACTCTCCCTAGAAAGATAAGAAAAAGGTAAGAGAGCTGTAGCTACTTCGAAGAATACATTCAACTCCTGATCCTCTTCAACAAAATAGATAGAGACAACAGCTATAAATGAAACATGCAAAGTGCAAATGATGACAGAGGAATTACTTTGAGCGTTTTCTAGCTAATCGATGAGGCACCAAAGAACCAAGGATGCTTGGCACCAGCAGAATCTCACGTATTTCACCAGAGAAGTAGCATATATGTGCCTGTGATAAAGGGGAGAAAAATCCCAAGGAGAAAAAGGTGGGCATAAAGAGATAACCGTATTCAGCTGTATATCTTCAAATTATGAATGTATACTTAATGAAGATCAAACAAAAAGAAAGAACCTCAATTGCACGGACAACATTGCAGTAACCCTTTGTTCTTGCTACTTGTAATGGTGTATTACAATCATCATTACTTGCAAAAGGGTTTGCTGCAAGTTTATTCAACAGAGCCTATCATAAATGTCTCGCAATCCAAAATCTTTGCTCAATTTATGTTTCAAATAAGACTACGTCAGAAGGACAATCTAGAACAAAAAGTCAAACAGTGACTGCTATGATATTCACCTCCATGCAAGAGAAGCAACTTAGCATGTGGTCCAGGCCTCTCTTCGCAGCATGATGCAAAGGTGTACCCGCATGAATCCCTATTAAGATCAACAAAGAGAGATAATTTCTGACAGAAATCTTCATAAGAGAATACTTTGAGTTGCGTATGCTAATGTATAGAATCAGCTTTCTCTCCGTAATCTTATAGGAAATGCACTTCTAAGAATACATAATCCAGAATTTCAGAGGGTACATCAATAAAGACCAAACCAGTGTTCATTAGTAGCATTACTATAAAAGAGACAAATTATTTTTTTCACAGGAAGTATAATTCTATTTATCTTAGCTCAATCTTCAAGATATCTCAATTTACTCTCAAACCAATCACGCTTCCATAGATTCACCCATTGTTCCCATCGGATTATGAAGGGGAAGGGGGGGCGTTACATAAAACCACTCCAAAAGATCTAAGTACATTATTGATGAACAAGCAAACTCCTAAACATGTATGTGACTATGTACATTATTGGCTAACAAACAACCTACCATGGTTTAGCCAATTAAGCAACAAATTTTGTGATTATAGCCCACTAAAAATTACTGTATTAATTTCTGCATAGGATACTACTTGTATTATAAATTGTAAACTAGCTCAGTTGTATAATGTATTGAGGGTGGTGCACATGACCCGAAACCGAATTTTGGCCTATGAAGCTGTTTTTGCACCCATATACTCATTCTAGCAAAGCAAAAGCAATTCTTAAGTGCAAATAAATAAAGGGTCTGATCACAAAAAAAAAAAAAAAAAAAAAAAAAAAAAAAAAAAAAAAAAAACCACATACCAGGGCGATAAGCATTAACATTTGCACCCAATTCAATCAAAGTCTTGGCCACAATATAAAGTCTAGGATCCATACAAGCCACAATCAATGGAGTTTTCCCTTGTTTATCAATCCACTACAAATCAAACCCAGAAAATTATGATCATAACATCAAAAATATTGAATTAAATGATTATTATTATATCTAATAAAAATCAAAATAACAACCCAGAAAATGATAACTACAAGATTGAAGAAGATGGATACCTCGAGTCCTGCTCCTTCAGTGCAAAGAGCTTTAATGGCATCAATATTACCTTCAATCACTCGCTGATAAACCAGTTCATCTTTTGACATTTTATGACCCATTTTACAATAATTCTGATTAAAAACTTTGATGAAATACCCAGAAAAATAAATTCAAGACTTCAGCTTTATTCAAGTGTCCTCAATCTTAACGATGAAGGATGTGAAGGGGCACTAGGAAATAGGGATGAGTGTGGGCTTACACATTTATCTGCGCGGGTTCGTTTGGTTTTGATATTGAAAATTACCAATATAGTATTTTAACTTTTAATTACCATAATTTTTAAATATGAAGGGCTGAGATTATTTGTTTTTTGGATTTATTTTTAATTAGAAATTTTAATTAAATTTTTTTAAAATATTTTATATATATTTTTTGTTTACAGAACCTTGAAAATGTTAAAAAATAATTTCTGAAAGATAAAAATATATTAAAAAAATTAAAAATTATTTTTAATTAAAAATAGTAATTAAAAATAAATAAATAATCTCAACCGACCATTTTTTAAAAAATTATAATAGCTGTAAAGTTCTAATGTGGATTTTTTGCACGAAACTATACCAGCAAATACTAAACCGAGCATGTGTGAATTGTATTGTGAGTTTGTGATAAATAGTTATTAAACCAATGTATATGAGGAATTAGTTTATGCTTTCACATTACTTAGGAAAATCGCTCTAATATGGTACATAGTGGAACAACTAAACAAGTATCGAAAAATCGAAGATATTATTGATCAATTAACCACCCCATATTGGAATATTAGATAGCTATATAAACATGATTTATTTGATTATATTTTAGTAACATGGATTAATGTTGCAAGATCCTCATCTTACAAAGCTAACTTTATAAAGCTACAAAGGCAGCCCAAGGTCGCCGGCTAGAACCCAGGAGCACAGGTAAATATTAAGCCTTGCTGCTACAATATATCCCTTACTATTACGTTTACAAAGGGCAGGAGACACTTCTGATTCATAAAACCTCAGAGGGCCTATCCAAGAAAACAAATACGAAGTATAAAAGAAAAGCAAAGCAAAGCAGTAAACATAACTACAAACTATCTATGACTGTTCATTTGATCGCCAATAAACCAAAAATGTAAAAGTTAAGGGCCCTAAAGAGGCTAGGACAAAACTGCATAGGTACTGTACAGCAAACAGATCAGCATGGTTGAACCGTTGAAGCTCCATCAGAAGTTACCATTAAGTCTATATCCCTGGCCTTTCACTCAGCTGCAGGATCACCATGCATTTTATCGTAGAGTCTATAAATTATAGTGGACTTTGCCATTTGGGGTTCTTTTTCCAGCACAGAAATCACATCCTTGACAGAGATACGCGGAGTTACTCTAGGAGGTGGCACAGCAACTTGGCTTCTACCACCTTGTTTTCCCACTCCTACAGCAAAAAAAAGGTTTAAATATTCAAACAATAATTTCTTTTTCTTCCAGGAGTTGAACTGGGGTGCAAGTAGGGATAGTAATAGAGATAAAAAAAAAAAAAAAAAAAAAAAGGTACACGAGGAAGGGTAAGCAAGAATTTTATTTACATAATCGAGTATCAACAAAATGTGTGTGTATGTGTGGTGTGTGTGTGTGTGGGTGGGTGGGGGTGGGGTGGGGGGGGGGGGGAGGGTGTGTTACCTGATGCAGAGAGAGCAGATGCCGTATCCCTTTTTCCCGTTCCTCTAGTTTCCCTAACATTCCCAACAGAGGTTGTGAATTGCTTATTAGTTGCATCTTTACCCGCCTGGGAACTAGTTGGAATTTCAGGTCCACCATCACGCTTTTGGCGAGCCTGCTGTGCCATAAGCTGCCATTTAGACAGCATGTCATCACCTCCAACAGCAGCTCTGGCAGCAACATTTGCTGCTGTAGTGCGCAATTTGTCATCCTCCTCTTTATTCACTGGCATCTGTGCAGAAAATTATATAAGACTTACAATAACTCTTCAATGGTATATTGGTATATGTTAAAATTATTTAGTTATACCTTCAGTGACTTTGCACGCCCATCATCTTTTTCCTTGTCAGCATCAACTATAGCACTGCTATCTGGCTGCGATGACCATATATATACATTAATCTTAATCATGAATTCCAATTGCATCATTGGGAAAAAAAAGGGGTAAATTTAATGCAAGCATAGTAAGATTCACACTTCATTTTGTTTCCGGAGCTTCTCATCTTCAGCTTGTTTCTTCTCCCATTCTTCTCTGGCTTTCCGGTTAATCTCTAAAATTTGTTCTCGGACGTCAGAAGTGACGACAATAGCGTGCCTTGACTTCTCAGAGTCAGCCCGCTGTTAAAACCAAAAAAAATTTATTTAACTCAGGATGCAGGCAAAGAAAAAAAAAAAGATTACTTTGACAAAAAGAAGAGACAATACCTGTTTTGACACTCTAATCAAATTGCTTATCAAGGCACGTAGTCTTTCCTCTACACACTAAAGAGGAAATGATTAAAGGATACTGAAAGCATGGGAGAAGCAAAAGGATGAGCAGTGAAAATCTTACTAGTGAGAGGCACCGCTCCACATCATTGCTCAAGTTCTTTAACCCACATTTTGTCACTGTCAGACGCAGTAAAAAAAAAGATAAGCAACAAGACAGCCTTATCCCTACTAAACTATTCTAGCAAAGTTACAGAATTATAAAAACAAAGATGATCGAATATTAACTTATTTCTGCTAACTTCTTCTGGAGAGGAGCCTTTTGCAGAATTAGTCTATCTTCTTCTTCTTGAACAGCCTTACGAGAAGCCTCTGATACTCTACTATCATCCTTGGGAACAGAAAATAACTGTTCCTCCTCTTCCTATCAAATCACACCATATAAGATATTGGGTTGAGGGTCCAGACAAAACCAATTGCTAAATCAGCTACAGGAGCTGGGATAAGTAGCAGCAATGGAAATAAACACCGTACCCTCATATTAATTCCACTAACAGCAGCGACGTCATTAAGATGTTCAATGCTTTGATCAGAGAATGCCCCAGAAGCTTTCTGCTTCTTACTGCAAGGTCATGAGTCATGATGGAAAGAATTTTTCTTAGGATTTAAAATAGACACTTGATAACCAAATCTGTAAATTCAGTCTCAAATCTAAAGCTCACCTGGGTAGAGGTGGCGAAGAATCAAGTGCGTCAAGTGGCTTCTTCTGACCACTAGATGGCTTTTTAGTTGATACCTTGGAATTGCTACCAATCCCGCCCAATGGGCTAGCAGCAATAGTCTGAGACCCTACCTAATAATCAAAAAATATATAACTCAGATGCTCTACTTGTCAGATCCAAAGAATAAGGAATACATGGCATAGTATACAAACAAGCATAAGCCAATATAGAGAAGGGACTGATTACTAAAATGCAAGGGACAAGATCAAATGTATGACATGTATCATTACTAAACAGAAATGAAAACTAAGGAGCAACGAATAGAAATACTCTTCAAATACGGCAGAGGAATCAAAAGTAGTAAATAGAAGTCAGAGATACACAGAAAAGCTGAGCTTGTTTGCTTGATTAACAGTTCTTTTCTTCTAGCTTAAATTCATCAAGTATAAGTTCAACATCAGAGAAAGTAGCGAGAAATGAAACATATCAGTTCAAAGTTGCAGTCCAAAACTGCAATCTGTACGATGCTATAATCCAGATGATGCCTGTCAATAACAGTGCATGCCCCATATTAAGTCCATACCCTTCATCCTTACATTTTAGAATGGAAATGAACTAATTAAATTACCAACACCACCCCACCCCCAGACAGTCCACATCCTTTATCCTTCCACATTAGAAAGAAAAATCTAGCTACAAACTACATACATCAGCTCTTTCCAGAAATCAACTAGTAACCTTTGGACAACAAACAACAAAAAACAAAACCAAAGCCATATGAACCAAGAAGCTATCTTCTGTGGTCACAAAAATCTTTTTCCTCCATTTGCTTCACTCAGTGCACTACATGCTCTTGCGAACCTTGTTTTCCGTGCCACTTTCAATTCCCTTTATCCAAGTCATCTTTACTAGCATCCTACAATCAATTTCTCACATGTCCATAACAACGTACAAAATTCTCCAATATTTAACCTCAACATCCACAACTCCAACTTTCTCAAAGTATTCCAACACAGCTACACATCCATCAGAACATAGAAACAATATAACAATGCCAGAATAATTCTCACTCTATATAATTACCCCTTTAACCTTACCAGTACGCAATGATTTCACAACCAGGAAATCTGATTACTACCAACCAGTCAATTCTCCATCATGAATTACATCATTATATATCTCCATTCTTCTGTAATATCAATCTAAGCCTCCAAGGTGCTTAAAAAATCTACTCACGGGCTGCTCCTTACAAACTTGTGTCATGCTCATTCTCCCTCCCAGCACTTGAATTTACTCTATCTTGCCCTTAAAGTAGCTATCTTTTGTCTACATCCCTCCACCTTAGCATAAACCCAGCTTTAGTCTCATCTACCAATACAATAACATCTACAAAAAGCATATGCCACAATATCTCAGAGGCAAAGAACAAAAAAAAAATATATAGTTAATCCATCCTTGGTGCAATCCAACCGTAATGAGAAAATCCTTCATTACTCATCATTAAAAGAGTGTTTGGATAAAGAAAAGGAAATGAAAAGCAGGGGAGGGAAAAATAATGAGTTTTCTTTCCAAATCTCTCCATATTGCTTACAATTTAATCCCTCCATTTCTCTCCCCTCCAATTCCTTTCCTTCCTCAATTGTTCAAGTTTGGCTCAACAAGATTAAAATTTTTGTTTGACCCTATTTATCAATTCCACAAGAACGTTCCGACTTAGCAAGTTCAAAAGCAATTCATGAGTGTATCATACTATCAGCTCATGCATTCCTAACAACAGTAATGGTAGTCCTAATTGGAAAACGCCAAGTGGATCAAGGCAGTGGATTGTCCATGCGCGGATTCTATTCCCGTAGTTCGCCAGTAATTGTATGTCAAGGCATCTACAAACCACTAGAATCATGCCAAAAGTTACCTGGAAGTCAGTATCCATGCGGGATGGAACAGAACCTGTTGGCATAGTTGCAATCCTCGATGAAGATTGAAAGGCGATTCCAGGATTATGTCTCTCTGACAATTCATCATTTGAGGCCACTGGAAGTGATTCTCCTTGATCAACTAATACAGAGCCTGAAAAAGTAGTCCCCTGGGATGAAGAAACTTGGGGCTTTGGTTGTCTCTCGAGAGCCTGCTCAGAGGGCTCCTGTTTCACATAGCTAATGTTTGGAGAAGTTCCAATTTTCTGCTCTTTACTTACCTGCCATGGCACGGAAGTATGTTGCGTTACAGGAGTGGGCATGTTGGCCATGGTTACACCAGGAACTTTTTTGGGATCATTAAAAGAGTTCTGCCTCTCAACTTTAGGAGTAGTCATCACATTCATGGCCTGGCTGGTACCATCCCCATAAGCAGCACCAAATCCTTGATGAAGCTGACCTTGCCTTACTTGGGGGTCATGAGATTGAGGTTTAGTTAATGTTGGGGGTGTACTGACATTTGTGTTAGAGAAGGGAAGATAGCTGCTGGCTCCATACATGGGAAAGGAACCCTGTGGAAAGTGCAAATGCTGTTGTTGCTGCTTTGAAAGGCCCTGTATTGAAATTGCTGAGCGGTCAGATGTTTGATTTGCTTGCACTCCGTGAGAATCTGACAACTTTTCCATCTCTCTTGATTTGAGCGAATTGCTGTCAGCCATTTGATGTCCCGAATCTTTAACTGGTTGCAAAACTGGAGCAGGAGTTCGTGTCACAGTAGGAGTGCTATGGCTCTTCTGATGTAGCTGTCCAAATGAATAAGGATCAGAGAACTGAGCGGCAGTACCAGTAGGAGGTCTCAAGTGTGGCTGCTGACCGGGATTCTGAGACTGCAGCTGAAATTAATTAGGTCCTCATACCCTGAATAATAACTGTCTCTCTGGAAGCAAGAAGCTGGCAGCAGGAAGCAGACAGTAGAATCAAAAGTCAACATACCTTTGCCTGCATCTTTACTACAGCCAACCTCAGCATTTGGTCCCCCACAATGCCTCTCATAAGCCTGACAAATGTGTCCTTGGGTATCTCATTTCTCTAGTAGTCATACAAAAAAAAAAGCTTAGATAAACAAGAAAAGATACAATTTACACAGCATTGATGCACTGATACAGTAAAAAAAATCATGGACCAAAAGGTAGAAGCAAACCCGTAATTTTCCGTACAGAGTTTGGAGTTGCATGGCCCGGTCCTTGTCTAATTCAGGTAAAATGATTGGAAGCAAACTGCCGAAAGGGATTTGCTTTGACCGATTAGATGAGGTGCCAGCCTGCTCTGGTCCTGAAACTGGCTGATTACTAAATCTCTGCATATTTGAGAATTGAGGTTCACTACTTGAATTCAGCATTCTGCTTGTTTCATGAGCCTGAGTGTGACTTGACCCAGATACTTGTGGTTGCATTGGTGTTGATGGCTGAGAATATTCTCCAGATTTAGGTTCCACAGGGTGTTCCTGACCATCAACTTGCACAGGCCTATGTAATTGCGACTGAGAAGCACTAGGTGCCTGAGTTTCATTGACTTCTTGCTGAATCTCCATATTAGATTCATGTTCCTTCATCTCCACGTCAGATGACTGTTGCTCTTGACTCCTTAAACCTTGCTGCTGGGATTGGCTGCCGCTGTTTTCATCTTGGCTAGAAGGCTGCCATTGCGTATAAATCTGACTTGAAGTTTGATTGTTCTCTTGAGAAAATGCTGTAGTCATTTCACCAGTATATAAATGTGGTAATTAAATGAAGAGTTGAAGACGAAAAGAAGATATAACCAAGCTCAAAAATAATTTAAAGAAAATACAAGAAACTCAGTTCACAGGGATATCAATTATAAAAAAAAAAAGTAAGACATAAATATATCATCTAGTAATGATATTAATTAGTTCTCAAAAGTAAGGAAAAGCATGAAGAACTAAGGACACGTAAGACAGAAAGCATGTACAGAAGTTACTAACATCCATGAACATTTTTTCCCTTTACATTTCACACAATGGAAAAAGATATTATAATTTTTTAATCAAATACAAGTTATAAAACTCGACCAAGTAGCTTTCCTGCAATTATTCATGAATTCTAGATATCCAGCATAGTGTTATTTTTATATAGGAGAAAACTTACAAATATCTGGATGAACAGGCCGAGAACTGGATGAGTCACCTTCTATATCTCTATTTAGAGCAGCAGTAAATGCCTCAACATCTGCTCCAGAATGCATCGATTCGTCCTAGTATTTAATCCCCCAAATAATAATGTCGACAATCGTTATATATTCACAACACAAAGTAATATACTGTACTTAGAAATCACTGGCAAGAGAGGATAGAATACCTCATCCTCTTCAAGTAGCTTCATGATAGAAGGATCCATTGCACAACTATATACTTAATCAAAACTTCAACCAACTGCTGATCAAAATACCAAGAATTAACTCGAATTGTAGAACAAAGTGTCATAAACAGCCACAAATAATCAATTATAAACTGAAATTGGTGCATCCCAAGATTTCTCTTTTTTAATTTCATTTCCTCATTAAACTCCCCAACAGTGTTCTTCAAGGTGCTTAATTTGATAATCATGGCTACCCAATTCACCAATTTAATCCCCTATTCGAATCGGAACCCGAAAATTAATATGAGTATAAATTCATAATTTCTAATTCATCAGTAAAAATTCGCAAATCAACAATTTTTAAGTTTCTTAACCTAATTATGTTCAAACTAGATGCCCCACTCAATCATAAATTAAAAAATTTCGCCAATTACAATTAGTTGCATGATTAAGAACAACCAAATCGGAAAGTTTCATTGAGCTTGCCAAGTATATAAAATTCAACTAAAATTCTAAAAAATTGAGCAATTTGAAAGAAAATTAGAGAGCGATGATTTACCTAGCGTGTGAATGAGCTCGATTTTTCTGAAAAAGTTTGAATATGCCCTAATTATTTAGCTGCAAAATTGTAACGATGATCTTAAACTCTTTTATTTTGGAGGAAGACGAAGGAAGAAGTATGCCTTTGGCCGAGTTCTAAACTTGTAGAGAACAAGTAATTTATTGGGAATTTTTAGGAGAGTTTTTTTTAAAAAAAAAACTAATTTTTTCATTCTAATGAACTACGAAGTATATTTAATTATTTATACTTTATGAAAAACTAGATTAGGTCCCCAATACTTTAATACTTAAATTATACAGATTAATAAAGTATTGGCTCATTTGGTAAGGTTCTTACCTCATATCTTATTCAGCGTTTAACTCGTAAATATTTAAGTAGTCAAATTTTTAACCACATAATGACACATATTATTTAAGATTATACTCTATAATTGACATGTATTTTTACTTCATGGATGATAATGAGTATTTAAGATTTAAGTAGTAATTAGTATTTGACCCACACAATGCCTGTGAATTGGGATACTACTTAATACTCGTTTAGGGCTTGTTTTAATATATTGAACTGAACTAATTGAAATTGAACTAAACTGAACTGAACTGATTGGGGCTAAAATGAACTGAATTAATTAGAGTCGAACTGAATAGAGCTGAAATGAAGAGCTGAACTAAACTAATTGGAGCTAAGCTGAATTAAAATGAAATATTCGACTATTTTTTTTTAATAATTATCTTAAAATTTATTATTTTGAAATTAAACTTATTTGGTTTATATCCATAATAGATTACTTAAGTGTACTATACAAAAGTTTAAATTATGATAAGGGCTATTATATTCTCCTAAAAAGTTCAAAAAAGTTCAAATTGCGAACAAGTATGCAAAACAAGAAAATTCCAGTCACAAATCCTGAATTTCCTTCTTAACCCAACAGAAAACCAACAAAAATGGCAAGTTTAACCAAAATACAAATTGGTCTCCAGATTCAAACATTTTGATAGAAGGGAGGGAAATAATTTATCAGCGCCTATCCTATAGAACAAATAGCTCATTTCACCTAATAACTGAACACTGAAATTCAAATCCAAAAAGGAGAAATCTCATTAAACTCTAGACGAGTAAAAGTGCATTACTCATCAAGGATTACATGGAATCGTCACTGAGCAGACCAACAAGCTCAGACTTCTTCAACTTCGAGAACCCTTTCATGCCTCGAGATTTTGCAAGCGCCCTCAACTCCGTTAGCTTCATAGCATTCAAGTCTTCAGTATGCTCCTTTTCTGCATCTTCCTCGTCAATAATATCTTCTTCGGCATCTAAAAGCTCAGCCTCTGACAATTTACTTACTGTAGGTCTTTCCACAAATTCAGCTTCCGCCTCCAAATCTACCTCAGCCTCTGACAATTTACTTACTGTAGCTCTTTCCACAAATTCAGCTTCAGCCTCCAAATCTACCTCAGCCTCCTCCTCTCTCTCCTCATCATGTTCTAGCTCTAGCCCAGACTCCAGATCCATATCCGGCTCTAGATCAGAATCTGATTCAGCCTCCGGGTCAAGTTCACTAAGAGTCTCTTCATCCGTCCTTGCATCAAGATCTGAATGTGAGATGATTGGCTCATACTTGATCCTAGGAACTGGAGACCTTCGCCGGAATTCAGATGGTGGGCGTGTAAATGAAGGCTTATTGGTTTCTTGAGGCTCTTCCCTAACAATACTACTGGAACTGAAAAAGCTTTTGCTCTTATCCTCATTGGATTGCCCACTCTGTCTTGGATGATCAAAATTGAAATCATTTGCACCACCACCATTCACTTTTCTTTTACCTTGCTCAACTGAATGCTTCCTCAAAAGCTTAAGTAAAGAATCAACTGTTTCGCTCTCTTTATTTTGCCCTTTGACAGCTTCAAGCTTCTTCTCTTCCTTGACAACTGCTCTTTGTCGAAGTTGAGCCTGAACCTTCTTAAAAAGTTCAACTATTTCCCTTTCTCTTGGTCCTGGGGTAGCAGTAGCCTGGGACTTTGGGCTATTAGAAAGAGAAAGTAATGGCCCATTTTTAGTTGATAAGAACTCAGATTCATCAAGGTTCTCAGAGTTGTCCTTCTCTTCATTAACCCGGTTCCTATTTCGGGAGTAGCCAGACCTGTTATGCCTAGGGAAGTCTGGATTTCTTCTATAACCACCATTATTTGCCTGGCAGATAAAAGACTTATGTTTCAAAGAACATTTTGACGACATTATTTTCACCTGAGCAATTTTATATTCGTTTCGGGGACACGTTGATACACTGACTGCCCTTCCAGAAACTCCCAAGCACGGGAGAGAGGTGCTCTCAGATGGTCCATAGCCTACAAAATGGAGAAAAGAAAGGTAACAACACATGAGTTCTGTACACCAATTTAAACCAGACAAAAGGGTAAAAGGAAACCTAATAATTAATCAGCACTGTAGCACAAATCGTTAGTCAAAAATCAGATCATATGCTCAAACCAAATCTGTGGTAAAAACTCACTAGTATCTCCAAAAGAATTTGTCAGTACAAGACTTAAGGATTTGACTCATTTTCATTCATGGCTCTCCCCACACATCTTTAGCAAAAAATATTCCCCTTTTAGCCCAATTAATCAATCATCATTTACACAATGACTATTGTGGTTACGGCATGCCTATCAATCAATCAATCAAATCCTTAATCCCATAAGTGAAGTCGGCTACATGAACCAAAATTAATTATTCCGTGTGGCATGCCTACTGTGGATTTGGCATGCCAACATCTTCAAAAACCTTTTGCACCTTCCAATAACCCAACAAGTTGCTCCCAAAAACCCAACAAGTTGCTCCCAACCCCTTCTCCTAACCTCCATGGCTCCAACCACTTCAAACAAAGACGGCAGCTAAACTATGGCATGATTAGAGAAGCTGATATGTTTGTAATTGTAATAAACATACTGTCAATTACAATTAAAATCTAAATTTGATGCATTACTCTCATCTTTCTCTTCATCAATTCCTCTTGACTTGGTAAACACTAATAATTATGAGTTATAGATCTCTATTGACAACACTCCTATCTCTACCTTCCTTCATCAATGCATTCGGTCTTAGATTTGTAATGTCATCTCCAAAATTTTGTCGAAATCACACATATCCATCTAAGAATTGCTATTACTATTACAAAATCACTACATTTGAGTTATGAGCGATTGATGCCCTATCTCCACCAATGCAATTGCAATAAGCCATCCCCACTCATTAATATTTCTCATTGCAATAAACCCCATAACAAATTCTACTTTACCAATTAAGCAGCCCTAGATATACCTAATTTTATCTATGTTGATATAATGGCCCCAAAAAATTATCAAAGAGCCTGCTTTAACCAGGACTTAGACTACTGAAAACTAATGTCATTTCATCAAACACTAGGTGGGCAACATCTGTAACTCCCAAAAACACCTAAATTCACCACTAAAAACCACATTTCAACGAAAAACAACACCTTCCCACGAATCAGATAACCACTATATGAAAACCCAGATGCCCATTTGACAAAATTCTAGCTACTGAGTCATTAACAAAGAAACAAAACCCAGAAAATAACACAAAAACCAGTTTTTTTTTTTTTTTTTTTTGGTCAAGAACATAAAATTTAAACAAGAAAAAGAGGAATTGTAAATATTTTATAACAATTAGAAATAAAATTGAAGCTTAATGATCATAGACGATGAAAATAGACAATTTAAAGAGGATACTAGACCGAAAATTGTGAATTTAATTAAATAAATAGAGTTGAAAAGTAATTTTACTGTTAGAAAGGATAAAGAAAGTACCTTGAACGTTGTTGGAGATGATATTTAGGGTTCGAGACATGACCTTGAAATGAGTATTTCAATGGCGGTTTTTTCGCATTTGTATACGATTAGGAAGGAGGTCTGCTTCACTTGAAAGCAAATTGACGGCAAAATAAACTAACTATATATCCGGTTGTTAATGAAAACAAAATCAACTATATATCCGATTGTTTTTTCTATTTGGGGTAATTGGGAGTTTTCCTATGGACTTAAACTAAAATGTCAAAATCAATTATATGTACGAGTCTCATCGTATACCGAAACTCTTGTTGGGAGACTCATCCATTATAAGTTAGGGGTACGATCCGGATTGAATCCATGACATCATTATTGTCAAGCCACATCATTTCAATATACTTATATGACATCATTATATTCATATGAAATCATTATTGTCAAGTAATATCATAGCATACACAATGGGTTATAGGATTACATATTGAGTGTCACAATCCTCTTGTGCCACGCCATCATGGATAGTCATTAAAACCCATTCACTTGCAATATTTTATTGCATAACCACAAGCAAATAACCGGTTATAGGAATAACCTGATCATTGCAAAATTTCCCCAAATTTTTCTCTCTTTTCATTTTTTTATTATTCTTTTAGTTTCTCTCTCCTAATAACCAACCCTAATGATCAATGGTTGTGCATGCTCTCACTTCCATCATTATATTCATATAGCATCATTATTGTCAAGTCACATCACTTCAATATACTTTTATGACATCATTATATAATTTTATGACATCATTATATTCATATAACATAATTATATTAATATGACATCATTATTGTCAGGTAATTTCACTTCAATATAATTTTGTGACATCATTATATTCCAAAAATTTCATAATACAAACATAAATCGTTCTCGGTACTTTATAGACATTTTTATAGGTGTGTTATGGTTTCAAACCACCCCACGTTTTCAGTTCAATTTTCGAAAAAATGACCCGAAATCGTGTATTATAGCCTTCAATTTTGGACAATTTTTCACTTTTTTAGACCCGGAAATAAAAATTTCCGAGATGCTTCCCATGGATCCTAATACACCCCGGAAGTCCATTTGGGTGGGGAAAACCATCCAATATACCTTCAAACAGTCAATTTACCTGTTTACAACTTGCACCGATTTCATAAACTCGAGGCTATCACGGACATTTATGGCAACATATAATGATCATATATAGTTCCAAACGACATTATATGACACTAGGATGTATCCCCTGGTATCTCGAGACTTTTCGACACCAGGTTCCGAAACCTCCAAAATTGGCCAAAAAGTGTGTATTATAGCCTTCAATTTTGCCTATTTTTAACTTTTTTTGATTCGGAAACAAAAATTGACGAGAAGCTACCTATAGACCCTAATACCCTCCGGGAGTCAAATTGGGTGGGTGAAACCATCCAATTTGCCTTTAAGCATCCAATTTACCAGTTTCCGTACACGCCACTTGTATTGATTGTAAGCTTCCACGGGGCCTTTATGTAGCCGAATTATGGTTGTATATGGGTCCAAACAACATCATACGACCTCGGGATACATCCCGTAAAATTCCGTGAATTTCAGACACCAGGTCCGAACACCTACTAAATTGCTTCGATTTCGTGTATTATAGCCTTCAAATTTCGCTTCCGTACATCATTTTTTCACCCGAATGTAGTCGCAGCACCGGACTGACATCCTAAAAATTAAACTAAAAAAAAATGTCTGCCTCAAATTAAGTGTAACATTCTCAACAACATATACGGGGTTGAGACTTATGAGTCAAATCACATACAGAGTATGTAATCAATTGGTTGTTGATGTAGTGGTGATTGAGACTACACTTGGTAGGGAGGACCCGTGTTCGATCCCCCGCAACAACAATTGGGAGGGGACTGGAACATAACCACCCAGAACTGATCGGCGAATCCGGATTAGCTCAAAGGGTGAACTAGGTAGAACACCAAAAAAAAACATACGGAGTATGTAATACAAGTATAAATGTCCATATTTTAACTCGTTATTACTTATTGTATTACCTGTTTATTATTATTTTTTTTAAATAACCAACCCTTGTTATCACCTCTAAAATAAAATAGTGATTTACTTTTATTATGGTAAAATATCAGTTATATTTCTATGATTTCACTATATAATTTCACATATTATTATTGTTGGTATTCATTTGGAGTTGATTTCATTAGCGGTTAATAGAACAATCTGTTTATATCACAGTGTCTTTAAAGGGATATTCTGAAGCTTATAGGCATTACTAGATGTCCTTCGAGCTTAAGTAAAGGCTTTTGCCTCCTTAGGAAGAAGCAATACAATGCAAGCACGCCTGGTATGTTTATTCTGGAGTCTGCACTACTCCATTGGCAACAAAGGAACCACAAAATTATTATGTTGGACTTTTAACATTTCGATATAAATATGGACACTTAAATACTTCTTTTTGGGCCAAAATCATAGAATATTTTTACAATTTGCTAAGTTAAAACACTTGGACACGTATCCATATCTGACACAAGTACCTAAGTCCGAGTAACATAAGTACATAACTACTAGACATTAACAACTCCTATTTTAACCCACGATCTATCTTCTCGATTTTTTTCTTTCTTACTTTCTTAGCCAAACCTCTCGACTTCATCAATAGGATTCACTCATTGAATATTGTAAAATTTTAACATCTATAGTTGAAAATTGCCTTCCTAAGTGCATTCCAACATACAGCTTCAATGGATGAAATAATTTTACCCCCTGCTTCGCTCAAACATTGGAGATGAAAATTGAAATGCAAGGTTAATCACAGTAAATTACCACATACAACTTTGCTCCATTACATGATAGCTCTTTAGACTGAATGGATAATCAACTGCGCTTAAATGTTCAGAGCATTATTACTCAGATAACAGTTTAAAATCCAAAATCGGATACTGGCCATCCTCACATTTTCGAGAAGAAAACAGCATACTAATCAAAAGTGCCAATCTCATCAGCAACTCAGAATCATCTCGTCATTATTTTAGTTTCTTCTCTCCTTAAAGTAATTTTAAACAATGAATATTTTCCGTCACAAAGATATGATCGGATTAAAAGAGGGTACATACAAAACAATTCAGCAAGGCCCTAATTTTACCGGGATGTACGAGTTATAAGGGGGTTGGTTATGCATAACCCCATCCAACGAACTCCAACACATTGGCTGATTCAACTTAAGTTTTGTGATTCTTAGCCATTTCTTCAACATCGAGCTCAACTTCTAGTACGGGCAAATCCTTCTTGACACTGAATTCACTGAGGAAAAATATTTCAACATATTACTGAGCTAGTTGACATAGGTAGTTGGGTAAATTTACAATAAACAAAACATGATGAAGTAAATGGATGCACATACCTGTTTCTCACAGGACCATGATCAACAGCATTGCGCAAACAATAAATAACTCTACCAATAATGTCTGACATATGAACTGGGCCGAAAGTTCTACTGTCCTTGGCTTCCTGCTTCAGGGGGTTGGGTTGGGGTGGGGGTAAAGAGAAAGAGTAATAAAAGTCAGTACTTGAAGCATGGAAGACATGGTTAGTTGATCAAAACTGCAGTAAAATTAAACATAGATGTTACTATTTAGGATGCTACTCACTCCAGTCTAAGCCTCTCCGGACTTTCACAAAGTCTAGATCAAGCTTCCACATCATCATCCATTCCTATATACTCAGCTACGACTCATAACGACTGATACGAGTACATCCTTATAGCATTAGAATGAATATGGAGATGATTTGTACAGAAGGGCGGGAACAGTAAACCTATAAAATCATATAATTACTCCCAATATCCCTTATAATTTAGCACCCTATCCTTTGTTGACAATCCCAAGTTGATTGCAGACTCATCTTTTAGAGTATATTTCCCTAACCGCCCCCTTTTTCTTATTTATTTATTTTTCTCTTTGATCATTATTCTTACTCTTGTACCAATAACAAGTCTGAAGTATATAATATGGAATGGGGTCTATAGAAAGGAGAAAAAACCCAAAATGAACAAGAACAAGTGGCAAATTTACTGTGCAATGATTAATGGAATGAGCAATAAGATTTGGATATGTTAAAAGCTTAAAATGGCAAAAGAGCTGAAAATATAACCATATGAAAGTTAGAGATCAGCATGAATTAAAACAATCAGATAGTATGCCTACAAAGTTAAAACTCTGTTCTGTTAAAGGCTAATGCAGGTGTATGAGCAGAGTGCCAACGCTTGTTACAAAGACATGGGAAAAGACTGTACCTTTGGCTTCAAAGCTTCATTGTCAGCAAGAACCCAGCATTCATCCTTATCTAGGATAAAAGGCTCCTCTTTTTCATCCTTCGAGACCATTTCATATCCTTCAGTGGCAGCTAATCTTCTGACTAGATAATCCTTTGGGCTTTCAGGGTCTTTCAGGACCACTACATCTCCAATGAAAACACGACTGTCATGGTAAAATAAACATTTATAAATCGGAGTCAAAAGGAAATAATAACAAAAAAACTTCAGAAATCTCTGCTCTCAATTCTTCATATAATCAGTTTTATTTATATAAATAAAGTTTTTCATGATACTACACCAAATTATACAGAATTTCATATCCCCACACAAATTTCCTAATTTATAACACCATCCTATTGACTTAAGTTTTTACCCATGGTGAGTTTCCACTCAAACATATACTCATATGAGTCATTTCTGACACCCTTAGTTGTGTCACTGTATCCAATTGACCAAGAAGTGGGATAATGTAAAATTGAAAAGTAGGTAAGTTTTCGTTAACTCTCAAGTTTTGAAAAAACATCATACATTTACAATTATCTATTTGATTTCTTGAGAAAGGATCACTTAATCAATTTTCTGATTTTCTCAAGTGACGAAACAGTTGCTAGAAGTCTACAATTGACACTTAAGTACTTGACAAGTTGACAGTAATATATGCTCAAGAATGAAATGCGTTTAATAAAGGGAGCTCGACAGCACAAAATTGGGCACAGATTGCAAAGAAAGAGTAACAACCATGTTCTAACATGTCGATGATCCAGACTGAGGAATGAAAAACTTAAATGACTAAGACCAGCATCATTGGAGTTGAAACAGAAAACTTTAAGCCTAAACTGATCTCAATCAACATCATTATAACTTCTTATTCAAGATAATCGGTTAAAAAACTGTTTCATCCCAAATTCTTATAGAAAATGTGCACTTTTTTTTTTGGAGGGAAGAGGTTAAGCCATAAAGAATAATGTCTTAGAGGAACTTTTGTTATAGATAATCATCATATCAAAAATTTTGTGGGATAGAACCTTTTATTATCAATTTTTGTGGGGATGCATTTTATAAAACATGTTTATTGATAATGGTGCCATTTACTTGATGCACACTCTTGCTACTCCTGTAATATTTTCCTCAAACATGCTCCTGCTATCTCCTCCCATTGATCCTGCTTTAATCCCTCTGTGTCTCTTCTCATCTTCTTCCTCTCTCACATTTCACCTCCCATCTTCTATAAGCCCTCTGATCTTTTATTTAACTTCTTCCCGTCTTTCGCATGACATTATGGAAAACACACTCGTTTTCCTCCCTCTAAAATGTTTCTTAAGTTTTTCCTCTGCCTCTCTCTTTTACTGAATTTTAATCTCAAAATAGGCCAACATAATGCATAAAAAAAGCGCCCTTCAACAGAAAATTTGCCCCAAATATTGACCTCTACATGACCTCTTTACTAGATGTATCTCCATCGTACATAAATTCCGAAACCTTTACTGATAATTTTGTGGTTTTCTAGCATCGGTGCAAAATTTCCCAAATTCAAAAGATTGAAAATACTTTATAGCATAATGGGATCTAATGGTGTTTGTTAGTCACGATAGAACAAATTGACTATACTAAGGTGGTCCAATATCTACTAATTTTGATTACGTTGAGTAAAAATTAATGATATTCATCCCCAACTTTGGTTCAGGAGAATCAAGCAAAGATAGAGGGGCAAGAAATTTCAATTTTTTTGCTTGGTGCGAGCAATTTGGGTTAAAATTTTATGGAGTGTTGTGATGGATCCGGATTTGGGCCAGCCCATTAAGGTCTATCACCGTAGGGCCAAGATGGGTCAACAATTATTAGTTTTAGGTTATGTTAGTGCTTGAGTATAAATTGTAATGTAAGGAGTAGTAGCCGATTATCCAGAAAATTGTTAAGGAAATCCTTGTGAGATTTGTAGCCTAAAGCTACTGATAGACTAATAGCCTAGAGCTATTGCTATCCTTGTAACCTTTAAATTTCCATTGTTAATCAAAAGACTCAAGCTTACCTCTAATTAGTGTTAATTAATTTTATTTATTGTGTGAGAAAACCGGTCCTTGACAAGTGTTTTGATGACAGGAGTCTTCCCTTTATATTTTTATTTTATTACTAATGTAGTCCCATATTCTTTGCATGGTAGGACTTTGGAGAAGTATTAAGGTTGAGGGAAAAGAAGTATGGTTGATTGAAGTAAAGCAGAATGAGAGGGAGAAAGAGGAAGAGAAGAAAATCAGGTGCATGAGGAAGAAGATGAGAGAGATTAAAGAGAGTGTGCTGGTCTGAGGGGAAAAAATTGCACTTCAGGTACAGATAGTAGAAAATTAATAACGGTCAACAGTTGGAAATTTGATCCTTTGGCCAGATTCTGGCCAAAATGTGCCAAATTTAATCTTCTGTATCTATAACTATATAAGTACTTTTTTTGCAAATAATTTTAGAGGGTGCTATATCACACATTCACACATTCTGTCAAAATACTATCCAGTCTGACAGATTTTCGTAGTTAATAAACACCAAGGGAATCCAACCTTATTAAAGAAGACAAACTAAACCAAGCCTTTAAATAGGCTATCACATAGCCATACAAAGAGAACCGTAGAAAAACACTAGTCCTCGACATCAGACATAAACTTATCTATAGCTCTATAAGCATATATTACCAATGAAAGAAAAGCTGGAACTGTCGTTCATGATAGAGAGCTCTGCTTTAACTGTAGCCTTAAGACTGAGAGCTATAAACCTTGAACAATAAGAATTTGCCCTAAAATACGAGCCCACCATCTTCTTTCCATGTATTCACCACTAGCTAAATTAAATAATTTCCAAATTTCAGCAATACAGTTTGCCTTCAGCCTCCTCTTCCAAGCTACCAAAACATCTTAGTATCTTACACATTTCCACATTAAACCCAACCAATTATAAACATCACAAAACCAAAAGTATATGCTTGCACAAGGTTTGATGACTTTGATCTACCAAAACATCTTAGTATCTTACACATTTCCACATTAAACCCAACCAATTATAAACATCACAAAACCAAAAGTATATGCTTGCACAAGGTTTGATGACCACTACAACAAGCATCTTTCCACTTCAGCATTAATAGCAAAATCTACACATTGCCTTAAGGAAGCACATGATACATCTGAGGTGAATATTATGGAGTAAATACAAAAACCTGCTAGAACTTTGATTATCTAACGCTCCCAGTCCCACCATCTCATATCTAACTACCCAATTTTCTATTTGAAATGTTTCAAGAAATAATTTCCCATTTCTTTGTCACCTTAACTTTACTCTCTCTATCCATCAAATCAACCCTTTATCATCATTCAATTACAATACTTTCATTTAGTTTTCTTGCTTTTTTCAACAGCAATTTTTCATTCTGCTCTTAAATTTTTCTTAATGTCCATGCCACTTAGAAAGCAAAATCTCTATTAAGGACAGGGAAAGAAATAAAAATCACCATTTCATAGGATAAAAATCTACCTAGATTCAACTCCAAATAAGCAAACAACAACAAATCACGAAATGCATAAACTAAGAGCAAACAAAAGACCAGGCCTACTTAATAATATGTAAAGCTAAAGAACATTAACATCCCCAATTGATCTCCATCAAAGATACGGTTGACGAGTGATAACATCCCACATACAAGTAGAACTCAACAGTACCAATATATTAGTATGCAAAAGCAAAAGGGTATGAAATTGATAAGCGTTCCAAAAGAATGAAGAACAATTAAAATAGACAATTTGCAAATTACCTTGGCCCTGGAACTGGTATTTTTCTAACTAAGAGAGTTCCACCTTCGGACGCAATTGTAGGAGCCATCTCCTCTCCTTTATTCCAATGTAAGAAAGTCACCTTGCCCTGAAATAGGTTTTTCCACACGGTGTCTCCTATTTGACCTTCAGTTATCCGACCTCCTTTATAGTTCTTCAAACACATTAAACACTCCAATCAGAAAAGATACACCCCAAGAAGACTGGTAATCTCAAGACTAAACAATATGAATAATAAGCGCAAGAAATTGATATAACATGGCATTTGCACAGCTTTATAAAAGGCAAAGAATCAAAAGATGATGCAGAGTATCACTAACAACAACCCAGCATAAATTCTTCTGATTACTGTTCACTAGAGGCAACATAGATGGTTAAGATGTATACAACCTAATCCCTAAACAAACTGTAGAAGACAGAAAGGAGGCTGTTTTCATGAAAGAAAAGCCATACTTAAACTTCTTCCACAGAATTCATATGTTTTTAAGAGATAGAAAGTTCTTCCTGAAAGATGAGGCAGCGCAACTTAATAATTTGCAACAGACAATAATTTTGATATCCCCTCCTTATAAATCATCAACTAATATTCCAAGACAAACAAGCAAACAAATGTGCCACCTCCCGCTCCATAACTATCAAATTTTCATTGCAAACCCAAAAGACAAGTTAAATGGAGTATATGATCCTATTTCCCCTCCCTCAAGAAGTCAAGAACACGGGTGCAGACACACTGTAAACAAACAGGTTGAATGAGTAAATAAGAAGAAGAGTAATGTACGCTCCATACAAACCTGAATGTGAATGTTGGTAATTAAGCAAGGATAACATTTACTAGTTACTACTCTGTACAAAAAATTAGCAAGTTATATCTATCAAAGACTCTTTCTTTCATTACACCCTTATTTCATTATCATACTGATAATCATAGAAGAAATATATCAATCAAAGACTTTCTTTCATTACACCCTTATACTCAATGCAGGCATAAGAACCCAGTAATTCACAAAGTATTTACTGCAATCTTACATATATAGCTAATTACAATGAGAAATGTGAAAAGATCGAATTTTTAACATCAAACAAACAATTATAGATCATAAACCCTAAACCCCAAAAACCTCAAGCAAAAATCCCAACAATTCACCTAAAATCTAGGAGCAAATCATAAAAACGACACCCAAATAAACAAAATCATTCATCACAGATTCAAATTGAGGTTCAAGAACACCCTTTTCCGAGAACATAAGCAAAACCCAACATCAAAAAAATACCCATAAACAAATTACTCAATAATTAAACAAACACATCACAAAACAATGAAATATTGAATTAAAGATTGAATTTGGATAAATAAAAGAAAGATGAGAGAGAAAATGGACACCTTCCAGCTGACAGCCATGGAGTATTCAAGCTTGTGGGCGATGTAGCGACACCATGTTGATACAGAAACCATTGCTTGTTCTTTTTTTTTTTTCACTTTAATTTTGGGGGTCTCTGATTAATCCAATACTAATGCTTCAATTTCACGAAAAATTATTCAACTACTCGTATAATTATGGTGAAGGTGAAATAGCAGCTGCCATCTGACCATCTCCTTTCTTTGTTTTTAATTTCTTTTTCCTTTTTGGGTTTCTAAAACCCTTCGATTCTAAACCTCGAAGGTGACCGTCAAATTTTCACCGAAGCCCTTCGAGATTATTTTTTTTTTCCCTCTCTCGAGTCCGACACGAGTACTTGGTGATGTATAAATCTTTAGGTGGTTAAAAATATAATTTGTTGTATTGGACTAATTCCATTCTTTCAACGATAGAAGTTACGGATTAGTTGATTATTATCTTTGATAGGTAAAGAGAAGACACTCTATTATAGGAATGGTGGACTGAACTACCATAGCCTCCCATCCCAAGTTGTTTTAGGTGGAATTTGTCCCACAACCATGAAACAACAATCCTTACCATAGTTAGGGCTGTACACCGGTCCAAAACCGGACCGGACCTGACCCGAACCTGAATGGACCGGGATCTGAATCCTTGATTTTTAAGGACCGGAGACCAGACCTGAATCAACAAGTCTGGTTCCGGTCCAGACCTGAAAAATTAGGTCCGGTCCGGGTTTGGACCTGAATAGACCTGGTTATTGATTTTTTTTTCCTTTTTTTTAAATAATATAAAATTGCTAACCTTTTTAAACCTGTTTGGACTTGTTTAGAGCTATTTAGATCTGTTCAGACCTACTTAGACATGTTTGAACTTGTTAGGACCTATTTATGGACCTGTTTAGACTTATTGAATAAAAAAAAAGTAGCTTTACCGGTTTCAGATCCTGACCTGAAAATTCCGGGTTTTACCCTACAGGTTCGGATCAGGTCCGGTCCTAACAGGTTCGGTTCAGGTCGATTTTCAAGTCCGGGCCAATTTTTGTACACCCCTAACCATAGTACCACTAAACCAAGTGTTATTTGGTATAAGCTTCCATGATTATAAGATGGTTAAATAAACTTTTTCATTTTCCAAACAATTCGTTTTTGAAGCTTAAGACGACTTTAGATAAAAGAAGAGAAAAATGAATAGGATTAGTACTATGTACATTAGCCATGTAATTTTTTTTCTTTAGTAAAACTGTAAAACCATTTGAAATCATTGACAAGTTAATCATTGTTACACCTCGCATACAAATTATGTATATATTGGATATGTACTAGGATGTTCTTTGAAAAGAATTTTTTTTTTTTTTTTTTTTTTTTTTTTATGCGGTAAGATATAGGGGTCCCCCAATTAATCACAGGAAATGGGAGGTTGGGGGGGGGGGGAAGATGGAGGGACTAACCATCCCTTTATTTCCTATGTCCTCTTATCTGAAAAGAAATAGTCTACTTTAAAGTAAACTTAATCGATCATTTAATTCCACTCGCAAAGAAAAGGTGTATAAAAATTGAAACCAAATAACCAATCAATACAACATGTTAACTCATACCCCAATTAATAAGGATGAATCATATACGTGACAAATATAATGTTTTTGCTTAGAACTTGTTAATTTGTTATGTACTGACTCAAACATTTGTGCAATTGTACATTTGTACACATCATATTAGGCTGTATTAATTGACAAAAAGATTGAGCTAAACTAAGATTGAGCAAGATAGATTACAACATAAGATCCTATCATTCTATTAATATAAAATAGACACCCCAAACAAATATAAAAATCCCAAAGTTTCATAAATGTGAAATTTTGGATCAAATGTCATGTACATACATACATAAACAATGACAAAATCAAAAGCTGTCTCATTCTCTGATTTTCATCAGTAATCCTCAAATGATCCAGCTAGCTTAGACTCATTAATCTTTATAATAATATGATTTTCATTATTAAATACTTTGTATTACATTAAACCGTACCATATTTGTTCAGAAACCATTACCCAAACTGCCAAACAGACCTCTAACCAAGATTCTAAATTATATTAATACGTTATAAATTAAATTAAAAACTATATACTACCTCCGTTTTTTATTATGTGCAACAAAAGGGTATTATTTATAAGATATAAAATATTCCTACGTTACATTCTTTCACATTCTTTCTTTGTGTTTATAAGGCACCTTCCCTCAAACCTTCACGTCTCATTTCACACCATTGCATAAAAAAAACTTGTGTGTACGGTGGATATGGGCGAGTTAGGAGCGAGTTATCGGTTCGATAACCGGGGAGATAAGACGATGGTGACGAGTGGAAGAGTGCACGCTGCTGGATCATCCGAGTTAACGGCGTATCCGTCGCAGTTGACTCGGCCGAGTCGGGGATCAAAGAAGGGGAAGAGATGGGGTAAACGACTCAGTAATCCTGAGGTGAAACGGAAGAAGAGAGTTATAAAGTATAAGGTTTATGCAATGGAAGGTAAAGTCAAAGCTTCTTTTAGAAAAGGGTTGAATTGGATTAAGAATAGAGTGTCTTCTTTTGTTCATGGCACCTAAAAGTTTTGAGATTGTATTGTGGTCAAAGGAGAGAGAAAATTATAACAATGTAGAGGGGGTGGTATGAGAAATATCATGCAAAAATTGTAATTTTTGATAGTTTTTTTTTTTGTTTATGGGATTTTATGCAATTCTCATCAATCATCTTAATTAGTTTGTCTAAAAAAAGTCGCAAAGGAAATGATGATGCATATGAAATTCGATTTAGTTTGGCTGAATATCACCCCTGTTTTACGGGATGTTATTTCATATTTAATTTGCGTTGTTTGTTTACATTTAATTAATGACGTAACAATTGAAAAAAGTGGTGAGGAAAATTATCAACATTTGTATGCATATCGATTCTAAAAGGTAACTAGTATAATTTCTTTACTTGTAAATCAAAGGAATTGATTTGATTTGATTCATTAAAATTTGTAAATGTGGTTAGGAGAAGGTATTTTTTGGGTAAATACAAGTTAATCTATGAGATTCACAAAATTTGTTTATCACATGATAATTTTGTAAATAAATCAACAACTTTTTCCATAAAAGTGGGTCCTACATTGATGATGACTGGATAAAGTTGTTCATTTATTTACCAAAATGTAATGTGATAAACAAATTTTGTTTATCCCAGAGATTAACTGGGCCTTCCTCGTATTTTTTTCCCCTAATTGGATAAAATTCTTATTTGATTAGGATCAAGATTAAGAATATGATAGATGGTATATGAATAAGCTTTAAATGTAGACACATTTGATACTCCACAAATGTAAAAGATCTTAACTCTATAAAGTATCAATGAAAACATAAGATTTTAATTGCAAGGGTTCATTTAGATGGAATTAAGTGTACACGTAAAATCGTTGGCCACAAATAAGTCTAGTCGAGCCGAGTATTTGAGTGTGTATATATATGTTGGCTTGTTCAATTGTTCGAGCTTGGAGCAAGCTAAGTGCTAGAATATGCTTCATCTTAAGAAAACTAATTTATAATCAATAATAAAAGTAGTCGGTTCTTTACAGACCAAATATAATAGTTAATCAGTAAAAATCGGTCAACATGAACGTGGCTATGAGCCTATGACCATTGCCAAGAGAAACCAACATTGCAAAGTGTTGTTCCACCGCTGGCAAAATGAAGTCGTCATCCTATAACAGCCCATCTTACAACATAGCCATGCACGTAGCATTCTGCTAGCCCAACACTGAAAGCCCATACTAACAGGCATTTACACATTAGAAGTAATAGCCTAATATACTTCATGGAAAGTATTGCAATTAAAAAAAAAAGAAAAGGGGAGAAGTATTACGTTCAATATCATCGTATTTTGCATAATACTTTGTAGGAAAGTGTTACAAATAAATCTTACCGAATGAATTATTGGGCGTGTATTTTGCATAATAATTGATTAGCTCAACAATATATATCTTATAACAACGCATTTATCAATGATCTATCAACAAAGAATTACCATATATTATAAGCGTGAAATAAGGAAAATAAATGTCCTCGCATAAATTATGGCATGGTTAAAAGGAAAAACCATACCAAAAAATGACATACACTAAACTTTTATTTCACAAGACCAATTAATTAAATAAATAATACATGGTACATGTAATCCAACCCCAAAAATTTCCGACAAAATGTGGGAGAAATACCTAAAGAAGAAAATTATAATTGGGAAATTACAAGTATACAACTAAAAAAATATTAAATGGCATCAAGAAATTAAATCAATTGACCTATATAGATGATAATCAAAGCATGCAATCCATGTAAGTTGCACGTAGTCACTAATACGTAAACCTACTCTCCTTTATTATATATTTTTCCCAATCAATGACAAAATTATAATTTCCTTCATATTTCCCTCAAAAAATTTACCATGAGACCATCAATATTCAATAAACATGCATGAATTACGACCATGGATTCCTAAATAATTCTCAATTTTTTGTTGTATATATAACTCTATTAGAAGTTTTGAAGCCTCATTTGTTGATAAAACTTAGCAATGAACTTATCAGCCTTGTCGTCGATCATCTCATCCCCTTCAAGCCCGTCGTAGTAAGCATCTCCATCGATCATCATACCCTCCTCCTCATCCGAGTCCTCATCAACATTGTCAAGATCATTTAAACTTTGAGCTGAGGCGTACCTACTCATGTCTCCTCTAGAAGATGATGAGCGCGAGGAGGAGGAGGAAGAGGAGGAAGCATCATACTTGGAATGATAAGGGGATGCCTCAATCACCTCATCATCATGCCTAGAGAAAAGAATTTGGGGATGTGGTGATGATGAAGTCATGCCACCAACATCCCTCTGAAGATGAAAGGGGCGAAATGCCCCCACAAAATTCGTTAGAGAGGTGTTGGTGGCTGTTGAGAGGGAGGGTGACAACTTTTTACCAGTCTTGTCGCTCTTCCTCCTCAACATGTACAATACCACCTTGATAACATTCATAAGACCCCCCTTGAACATATTTGTTTTGTTCTTGGAAGTTGGGGGTTTCTTGTGATGGTTGTAATAATGATCATTGTTATTATTTGTTGGATATCCAACGTCGGAAATGGTGTTTGTAGCCTCGCCCTCTCCCATAGTAACAGATTAGACGTGAATGATCTCTAAATTTTTGGGAGAATTTTTTCTCCTCACCCCGCGAAAAGCAGGATGAGAGGAAAATCTAGGTGACAATCTATCTATGAAAAACTTTCTAGGAGAATCATCTCTAGGAAAACAATTTGTAGGGGTATTATGTAGATGCGTGATTTTTGGTGTTTTTAAAGATTAACAGAAATAAAAATTGTTGGCTAAGAAAATTGAAGGATTTACTAGAATTAAAAAATAAATAATTTCATAGATAATTGAGGGACTTTAGGGAAGAAGTGTAACGAGATTTAATTTCATAAGAGTATAAACATACACTATGGTATATATACTCCAAAACTTTGGGTTTCATGCTCAAAGTTTTTGTACTTCGTATAGTTTTTGGTATATACATATTTAACAGCTAACATTTACGGGACATAAAAACTATATTTAAATTTTTTATAGCCTCGAATATTATGGGAGGATGGGCAATGAAAAAATAAAGGAGTATGTCGTAGAATGGTAAGTAATAATTAGCAGTATGTACATTCGAGTGTATAATAATAGATATATTACCGTTTAACATAATTTTATGAAATAAATTTCTGCATCATCAACAATAAAGTAATATAATTACCATGAAATAAATTAAATTTCTGCATCATAACAATGTTATAATATGAATGTAATAACAGATTGATCACCTGAGAACATGCTACCATGAAACATGTACCCTTAAAACTAACATTATATCACGTCCATTTGATTGAAAACCGCGGTATATAGGAGTGCATGGGTCCTACAAGATTATGTATGCAAGTTCCATAGATTACGACCTCTACTAGTCTCTACTTGCAACCACGCTCGGCCTGCAAGACACTAGTGGTATAACACAAATATGCAACGTATGTACAAACATTTAAACCTATTTCGAGCCGGAAATATGTAATAGGGGTCATTAGGTCGGGTATATGTCCAATTGTCCTTGAAATTATGTACCAATCTTTCATCTCGTTTTTTATTTTATTTTATTTTAATTTATTTATTTTTATATTCGTGTAAAGTAAACATCATCGATCCTTCTCCCACTTACAATATGATTTATCAAATATGCAATGAATGATATGATGAATAAATGAGACAAAGAAGATGTAGTTAGAAGTATTTACGGATTATATATATGTATAATGGGAGTAGGGAGATAATTTAGTTGTAAGGACTTGTATAAGCAAAAATATTTATCAATTGATTCACATGCAAGATGAACCAGTAGATGATTTTAGGCCGAAAACATGGAATTCTAACCAAAGTCAAGCCCATATTGTTGGTCCATTTTCTAGCTAATGACAGTTAATATCTCCATGTTGTGCACAAAAAGTTGGGTAGAAAAATTTAATTTTGTTTTATAGAGATCAAATAAGGATTTTTTAGAGACGAAGGGCATATTCTCATTGACTGAATTCAGCTGAAGTGAACTGAACTGAGCTGAACTGAATATTTTATAAGAGAAGGAAATTAGGAGTTGAGCTAAATTGAGCTGAGCTGAGCTGAATTTCAACGTATGAGAATAGGACCGAAATAAGGATTTCTTCGCAGTTTCATTACACGTACAATTATAAATTATCTTACGTAAAAAGTTCACATAAAAGATGATGTGTACACTCGAGTTTAAGAGAGATATTTTGGGATTCTTTAGTTTTTTAATGATTTAAATATTATCATTGAGTAAATAAAATTTAGGTCAACAAATTTTGATTAGGATCAAATTACAAAGGTGATCAATATCAGCATAGCCTGTAAGTTGGCTAACGATCTAGAAAGGATATTAGCTTGAACATACAATACAGTACAATCAAGTAAACCACCCAACCTAATACCCGGAATCAACCCAATTCAAACTGATTTACTTAGAACCTGAGTGCCAAGGCGATTGGTTTTCGGGTTCATACCAAGGATTTGTTTGCTCACGGCTTAAGGTTCAATTACTTGGATACTTCTACAACATAATAAGGCCAAACATAACAGTCACGAAGCAACGATCTAAATTCGTAACAAAAGCATAAAAAATAACTCAAGGAAGCAACATTGTAATCATTGACATAGAAAATAGAATCAATGAATAATTGATTAATGGGACACAATGATGAACGTCTTAATCAATAAACATTGAATGTAGCAAAGTCTTAATACATAAGTCATAGATTTGGTTAACCACAATTAAACAAGTACATTACGTGTTACGGTTTAGTCACTCAATTCCATTAAACTGAGATGCCATCATCCATAACCTGACAAATACCCATGTTTTTTTACTTATTAATCTTATGTTCCTATATCATGTTCACACAAGAAAAGGTAAAATAAATATATAAATAAATAAAAAAATCTTGTGTACTACATTCTCCTCATTTTTTTTTTCACTTTTTGGATTATTTTGTTAGAAAAAACTTATTTTAGCTGAACTTATTCAAGAATTCTAAACGTAAAAGTGATCAACTTTGAACATTTTTCTATGAGCAATATTTTTCGTGAAGAATAAGAAACACACATATTCTTAATGCACATAAATACACATATTACCATCTCATATAACTTTAAAGGTCATCTTTAACTATTAAGGTCTTTTTCCTAAGTGAGATAAGATCTAAAATATGATCCGTACTTCTTAAAAGTGCAAGGCAAAATCAATTAAGGTGACTAAGACCTTAAGCCGACCCTCACAAATGCCATAAATTATTGTAAGTCCGCCTTATAAAATTGAAACTACGTTTCGCTTTAATTGATTAGATAAAGCTGGAGACCTTTACGTTTTGTAAAAGGACAAAACTCTTTTAGTTTTGAAGAAGGATAGAGGGAAACATCGAAAGCAGCTGCCAAACAAAAATCCAACCAAGATGTTTGAAATTCAGGTTACTCAACTTTTAATTTTGGAGGGTCCTATTATTATCCAACTCATTTTTTCTGTACATATCTATTTATGTCCTTTTGTCCTTTCATTCATTCGACTTGCCTAGGATTTTCAGATGCTTTTTTTTTTTTTTTTTATCACTAGGGTGAAGTATCGTATTATTTGTAATAGTAGTAAGGTCCCAAGAAAGAAAAATAAATAAATAAATTATTGTGCTATACATAAATAAGGGTTGTATAATGCTAAATAGTAAATACTTAAACCACAATCAATGTTGTTTGGACATAAATCCTAATGCGAATGCCCATTATGTTCACGAGTACACCTAAAACTATCCAAAAGTAAACTAGTTTTATCTTAATTATGTCAGGGTTGTAACTAAACTAATTTTATAGTTGTACTTAAATAAGAGAATACTTAGGGGTGGAGTAGATTTCTTGTGTTTCTAGGTTTTTTTTTTAACCGGTAAGATACGGAATCACAGGAGGGGGATGATGATCAAACCCCCATCACTCGGGGGGGGGGGGGGTGTGTGGAAGGACTAACTATCCTTCCAACTCCTTGATCCTTTTTGTGTATCTAGATATCTAACAGAGTGACATTGCATTTTGCATCACCCATGGTTTTTAGCTATGAAATCTATGGTTGCAATTTGTGTCACTTGACACATTATACTTTTGACACTTTTCACATACGAATGACTTCATTTTGACCTTGGTTATATATAAAATATATAATAACAATCTGATTAGATTCGACTCGATGTTATTTTAAATCTTTTATTAACTGTATTAATGATATTAATTATTAAAGGTTAAGTTGCCTTAATACGTAAGAATATTACGAAGTATATGTAACAACTTAAGAAAAAACACAAGAAATACTCCGTAATACAAGTTTTTAGTGGTAGGTCCAAAAAACTCATGAAAAAACAAGCTAATGCTATAACAAAAAAATAAATGAAAACATAGGGCTGTATGGCCCCACAATACAGCCGTGTTCCCACCCTTCACACTTTCTCACTCCAATCACAACGCGTAAATTCCTTGACTCGTAAATTAAACAATTCTGCCTCATCTCACATATAAATACACACTCAAATTTCAACTCTTTTCATCATCTCAAACTACCAAAAAAGAATTGCACAAAAAAAAAGTACATCCATCTTTTATAGCACCAAGAAAGCAAAACAAAATGGGCAAGAAGAAGAGTTCATGTGAAGCAGCAGCTCGCCGAGCATGGCGACGCCTTCGGATTATATTGTTATGGGCTCAGGAAGGGGGTTTGCTAAAATGTAGGCTAATGGCTGAGTTACGGCACATGCCTAAGCAGCTCAAGGGACATTACAAGAAGTCTAAGGATATGATTCAGTATGGTGAGCGTCAGCTCTCTTTTGATGAGACACCAATGATACATTTTAGGATGAGCCGACCTTCCTCGTTAAGGTTCAAGATCCCATGTATCTCCCCTGAGGTTACTGATTTCGACTACGATTTTAGCAATGATGGACATGATTATGATGATGTGAAGTATAATGCTTATGGTGCAAGGAGGAGTTTCCTAGGGAGCAATGTAGAGGATTGTCAAGAGGATGAGAATGAAGTATGTGAAGAAGCAGTAGTCCGTGGAGACTCAAGGATTGACGACAAGGCAGACGAGTTCATTGCTCGATTCTATGAGCAAATGAAGCTGCAAAGACAGATTTCCTATCAACAGAGGTGTAATTCCATTAAAGCACATTGAAAAGATCCTACAAAACACAGTTCAAAGATTTGATTTGTTCTTTCTCCTTGTTCGAAGTTTTTGTAAACTGAGGCAGTACGGCATTTTGTAAATACCCGAGGCCTCATTTAGAGAATTTTGCAGTGATTTTATTAATGAAAATAGATATTCTATTCAGTATATTCATTTTTGCAGGAAGAATTTTGAGAAGAAACATAGTTATGCAAAGAAAATTCAATTGATATAATACTCTCAAAACAAGATTGAAATTTTTTAAAACGATTGTGCAGATTTTCTGGAGTCCAATGGAGAGGTTATTCCAGAGCTATACTATAACCAACACCAATATTTTTCTATCCAAAACTTCCTATAGAGCAAGGAAAAGAAATTACTGACTTCTGTTCTGATACCCATGGATACAAAAAACGATGCTGCTTAGAGCTACAAAAGCACCTCTTGATCCGATTAAGCACAAAAATCACGCAGCAACCCTTACGCTATGTCTATCAATCCCTGAAAAAAAGGGGCAACCACTGCGTTAGCTTGCTCCAACCCTTCAAGTAAACAACAGATAATCCAGCAACTTTTTACAGATATAGATGCTTACCGCTGTAAGAATTAAATCTATAAGATGCGCCAATGTAAATTTCCACACTAGCTACCATTCTGATCTGTCTTCAAATAACCCTCTAATTGATTGGTTGCTGCCAAAATCAGACCTATAATTGCAAAAAAAAAAAAGGTCAAAACCAGGCCTCAACTGCTTGTGCTCAATCATTTAATGTGTTGCTAAGTGCATACATGCTTTTTATTCAAGCAATCATGGCATGCATGTTACCATTCAACTAAATCGTATATCTAGTGCAAGTCTAGAATCGTTGCTAATGAAAGGTTCTCCATATCGGGTTCAATCCATCTCAACTACTCCATAGTGGATAAAAACTAGAAACAAGCTCCTCAAGCAAACATCCAACTTAAATGCAAAAATTATACAAAGTATTGAATTTCCAATGACAAAACTTGACCAAAGAGTAGTATGAAAGCAAGAAAATGAATTAACAGTTCAACAAGCCTACTATGTGCTTTTCCCTTGCATCTGTTAGTATGCAGATCCAAGGATTAAATGGTACAGCAGAATTTACCTAAGAACGGAGCAGAAGCTCTCCCAGGCCTTGACTTAAATTCTGGATGAAACTGCACCCCTACATAATATGGGTGACCAGGCACTTCCAAGATCTGCACAAAAGGCGGTAAAAATTGACATATTTGAAAGTATTTACTACTCGTAAAAAGCAACCGAATTTCAATTTAGCGTCTTTTTCCCATGGAGATTTTTCTTATGTATCATTGAATACAGATAATCTCCACAGAAACAGAACACATAAAAAGCCACACTTGATGCCACATTTTTACAACAAAATTCATCTTATAAAAACTGGGAGAAAATTTACCTCCATTCGTTCTCCACTTTCATCCCTTCCCACAAATTTTAGACCACCATCTTCTAAAGCATTTACTAGATTTGGATTTACCTGCAACATACATTTCAAAAGTTGTTGGTATACAAATCTGTATAAAAAAAATATGGTAAACACAGAAATCAAGCATCAGGAAATGGACCTCATATCTGTGGCGATGGCGTTCGTCCACAAACCTTGAATTATGATACCTAATCAAGGGAAACATCCGGACAAAATAAACTATCATTAAAAGGGAATTCATTTCATTTGAGCAGAGCCCTTATCTCAAATTCAGATATAAAAACAAAAACCACTATAAGGTGCCAAGAATTAAAAAAAAAAGTGTCGAACTTACAATTTAGAGGTCACACAATGGGGGTCTTAAACAATGTTTTCCGAGAACCTAATCTCATTGTGTTTCCCATATGTGTTCTGGAACCCTGTGTGCACAAGTAGTTTGGTAACTACCACAAAATAATCTCGTTCTTCACTAAGATTCTCAACTAGACATTCTCATGGCATACCTCTGGCATAAACTTGATCACAAGACTGGAAGCTTTCTCGTCAAACTCTTCACTATTAGCATCTTCCCAACCCAAAACCTGCAACAGATAGTAAGCAAATCTAATATTCAACCAATATCAAGAAACAGAAAATTGAGTTTTTAAGTTTCTTTGGAATAAATTTACTCACGGATCTCGCAAATTCTATGACAGAAATCTGCATGCCCAAGCAGATTCCCAAATATGGAACATTATTTTCTCTAGCATACTTCGCAGCTAATATCATTCCTCCGATTCCACGATCACCAAAACCACCCGGGACCAGCACACATGAAGCACTCTGTACAGATAGTTCATGTGGTTTATTAATTATATAGGAATTGTATTCATCTTAAGGAGTACATTTGCCAGCCAAAAAGTAGTCCTTAAGTAATTAAAATGTAATAATCATCACTTTGTGGAACAATAAGGAAACTTAGGAAAACAAGAAATTTTGCACAAAGCACTGATAGCCTTTAAAGCAGGAGAAAAATAAATAAATAAATAACCCATTACATTGTTTTACATTATAAATTGAAGACTTTCCGGAAAAATTAGTGGTACATCTAAAACCCCGTAATTCATCCCACAGTGGAAGAAAAATCAGATAATGCTTGTGATAAAATATAAAGTAATGCTTTTAGGGAGCGAAGAAAAGGTAAAAACACAAATCCAAACCTTTAGAGTCTTCCATGCAGAAGCATGGGCTTCTGGTGTCTGCACCAAAATAAAACAAACTGTCAAATAAATGTTCAGAAATTTAGACAAAGTTCCATTTGCAATACAACACTCGCAACAACCTTCTGCAGAAATACAACAGAAGATAACATAAGAGATCTTGGTATAGGGGCTAGCTACCGATTTGACACTTTCATCTTCAAGGTCTGAAGCTGCAATCCAGTCAATAGCTGGCTTCATGGAACACGCAATGCAGGCATGTAAAAGTGCCTATAAACGAGATCACCATCATGCAAGTAAAATTATAATAAAATTGTAATTAGAGCTTCATATACAGTGGCATAGAATCCGTGTAAACAATGTATAACAGTGATGACAAGTCATTGAGAAAATATTGAGATTCATGAGGTAATGAAAAAAAAGAATCAGATGTCTCTCTAAGCAAACCTCCATTCTCATTTTTGTATTGTGTAAGCTGAATTGTTTCTAAAAGAAGCATATTCTTTGCAATTGCGAGAGTAAGACTCCACACATCTAAGTGATCTGACCACCACACAAAAGGTGAGGGGCCTTGTGAGATCACGAGATGCATTAAGATAATAACATGGTGACAGTATGATAGATTTCCACATTCCATTCATGTATGAAAGCTGCTAGAGGGATTTAAGACCTCATGAAACAAGAGGGAAAACATTTTCAGAACAATACCATCCAGTATGATCACTCAGCTATCAATTTAAAAGTACCACCTCTTTGGATGTGTTTGGTAGGGCAGAAACCATTTTATAGGAAAGCTGGTTTTCCTTCTTTTCCTCTATTTGGTTTGTGAAGGGAAGAAAAATAGTTTATCCAGGGTGAAAAATGTTTTCCTCTAGTGAAGAAGGGATGCTACACTACCACAAGTTTCTTCATATCCCAACACTTCTTCCTCCTCTCCCCCTTTCATATTTTAAATCCTTTCCCCTCATTTTCTGTTTCCCTTTCTCTCCAACTTTTCTATAAAAAAGTCAATCAAAGAAAATGAAATTCCCTTCAAACTGTTTTCCTATAAACCAAATACAACCTTCATGTCTAATAGACATAACAGCATCAAAAGCAAATCATTATTCCCATTTTCCAAAAGGATGGGATTGACTACATGAACCAAAATTTTCTCTCGCAGTCATCCAGAAAGATCCTTTTCATCCTTTCACTTATCTAGTGTTACATATAGTCATACAAACCCACTTTCTTCGTGTCATTCTTCTCTCTCTCTCTCTCTCTCTCTATTTTGGCCTTCTTGGGCAAATCAACAGAGTCCTTATTTTATCCTCAATAATTCAATATCCAGAACTCTTAACTTTGTTCCACATATCTATTTTCCTAATTAGATCTCAAAAGGTATTCCCAAACATTATTCATCTGAACATATCCTCCTTCCTAAGAGCTCAACATTTTGACCTGTATAGTTGGTCTAATTGTCGTCCTATAGAAGGTCCTTTTAGCCTTAAAGGTGCACAAATGTTGCACAATAGCCCAAGCACTGCTCTCCATTTGAGCCACCTATCCATGATTTAATTCTATATTTTACAATTGTATGATATCCTTATTTCTCAGTAAAATCAAATGAGATAATTAAAACATTCACTAACAAGTAACTTCTTAGTTCTTACAATCTAAAGTCACAAAATTTTCACTTAACCCCCTCCCAATGCTCATGTACTCTAGACTAACACCACTTTTAGTCTCATCAACCATCATGATATCATTCGTAAATAGCAAATATCTCATCTTGGATAGACAAAGAGGAAAGGACTTAAAGCAGATCTTTGGTGTAACCCAACCATGATAAGAAAATACTCCGTTCTCTACAAATCCTGATCTTTGTTTACACTTCTCAATAGATATTCTTACTTAGGTCAATATACTTGCATTGATTACTCTTCCTTGTCATAAAATAATTGCCACAAGGCACTTATTTCGGTACCTTATCACATGCCTTTTCTAAATTACTCCCTAATAAAAACCATGAGCAACTTCTTCTTTCTCACCCTACAACTCTCCATTTCAACCTCATAAGATTATTAGCTTATTTGGTAGATTATCCCAATATAAACCCAAACTGAATGTCCAATGTACTAGTACATTTCCTTAATCTATGTTCTATCACTCTTCCATTATTTCATGGTATGCCTCATAAGCTTAATCCCTCAATAGTTTAAACTGAGCTTCTCCTTTGTTCTAACAGAGATGGAATCCAAACATATACTGTAATAAAAGAGTAAGTAATTGTGACCATATTAAAAAATTAGAAGATATCTTTATCTAAGTGTAACACATTGATGGTCATAATAGAGATAATTTGACAACCAGGAAGCACGATTTCGATAGAAAAATTGTTAAAGCTATGGAAATTAAGCATTACCTTTACTACGGACAAATAAGAATCTGTTAAACCGACATACTTTCCAACCATAGCAATCCTAACCTGCCACCACCAAACTTTAATTAATACACAATAGA